ATCAACACCTGACCCACTTATCTTTTATTTTTTTCCATTGTTTTTTTCATATATATAAATATATATATGTATTTTTTAATATATATTTTTAATATATGTTATTACTAGCGGATGTGTACCCGGCTTTGCCCGGGTTTTATCCGAGTGAAAGTTTGCCTAACGAATATCACTGATAATAATATTCCAGAACACACAGAATATTATGATAATAATTATAATAATATTCGTTACATTATATTATGTATATTATTATAATATTATTATATATTATAACTAGACGGGTGACCCGGGATTCGCCCCGGGATTGACCCGTGTGCATATCTACCCGAGTGATATATATTTAGATAAGATTTTTTTAAATAATTGTTTGTTATTAGCATTATCTATTTGTTTGCATCAGCATAATTTAATCTAAATTGTACTGAAATAAAAATATCCACTTTTGATAGAGGGCGCTGTTCGTGAGCTAAGTAGAATAATTTGAATATATAGTTTTAAAAATTGATTTATATATATTTTTAAAATAGCCTATCGTCTTCTCCGTATTTTTTTTTACCTGTGTATGGAAATTTTGGTTGAATTAGTAAACTACTGCGAATTTGTATACCGGACATACAAACAAACAAACAAACATACAAACATTGATTTTTATATATACTTAGTCTAGCCATAAATATTGTTACAAAACCAAATCAGTGATAAAATTTTATTTGTACACGTGAAGTATTCAAAATACAGTAGTTGTTATTTGAATATCTCGTGCACACGTGTTTAGAAAAAAAAATCGGAATATATTTGTTTTTTGATAATGGATTGGGGTGTTAAATAAACCGTATAGCTGTAATAGCCTTACACAAGGTAGGCCAAAGTCCTTCATCCATTTTTAAACTTTTACAAAATTTGAATATTATGCGTCAATTTGTTTATCGAACCATTGAAAGGTTCAACAAGGCTGGCACTATTAATGACCTTGAAAGATCTGGTCAACCGCACGTGCAATGAACGCAAGCAGTAAAAAAGCCATTCGCGAAATAATTTGTCGAAATCCACGCCGCAAACAAAATATCGTAGCAAAGCAGATGAATTTAGCTCCAAGAACCGTTTCCAGGATAATCAACGAAGACCTTGGACTGAGAGCTTTCAAACGATGCACAGGTCATTTGATAACCCCTGCTCTTAGAGATATTAGAAGGGTTATATCAAAAATTTTGTTGGCGCAGCATGATGGTCGGTGGCATGAGAGAATCCTTCTCACAGACGAGAAATGTTTAACTGTCGAGGAAAATATTAATCGTCAGAATGATAGGATATATGCTTGTAGCTCTCTAGAAGCTTCTTTGAAAGTCAGAAAACTTGAAAAAGTCACCATCCTTCTTCTGTCATGGTTTGGTGGGGAGTTAGCTACCAAGGTGTAACAGATCTCCACTTCTGTGCCAAAGGGGTAAAAATACAGCTAAAAACTATAAATAAGACATTTTGTAACAAATAGTAAAGCCTCTGAATACAAAATAAAATGTTTATTGGAGAACATTGGATATTTCAACAAGATTCAGCTCCTGCTCACAAGGCTAAGTCAACTCAACAATGGTTGGAGACGAATGTTCCGGAGTTCATAAAGGCCAATGAATGGCCGTCTAGAAGCCCTGATTTAAACCCCCTTGATTACAGTTTGTGGGCATATTTAGAGGAGAAGGTGTGCTCTAAAATATATCATAATTTGGATCAATTACAAATCAGCATTAGTGAGAGCAATGAAAGAAATACCCTTAGAAAAGGTGCGTGCCGCCATAGATCAGTGGCCCGAACGTTTGAGATCCTGTGTCAAAAATAAGGGAGGACATTTTGAATGATTGTATTTATTTAAAATCTATGTTCTATTGGCTAATAAAATATGTATTTATATTCCTTTAGTTTTTGTTCTTAATCATTTAATTTATAAAATTGTTTGTAACAGAATTTATGGCTAGACTGTGTATAGAAGATATTCCAGAACACACAGAATATTATGATAATAATATTCGTTACATTATATTTGCATTATATTATGCATTATATTTTTATATTTGCATTATATAATGGTAATAATATTCGTTACATTTCTGATCCAAAATATGCCTTTTTAATAAAATATATTTACATAATATATAAAATATGTTTTTCGAGCAAACATATCCTCTCTCTCTACAGAATAGATTTTTAGAAAGATATATATAAATAAAAATATCTAGAGATTTACTACATGATCTCAGCAAAAAGGCAGATAAACGATATTTTATATATAGAGATGACCTGGCTTCGTGTGTCTTCTGCTCGAGTGAATGTTTCGCTAGTAGATTTTGTTCCTGCCTACTAAAATTTAGTATCTGGCTTCGCCCGTGGTCTGCATTTGTGAATATTACCCTAAAGAATTTTGTTTATGCCAATCAAGCATGATACAGCAATATGGTCATAATCATATCTGACTAAAAAACAATTGTTGTTCAGTACTTGGTTAATTATGATTTTTCTTGGTTAAAGTGGGACTGAAAACTTCCAGATATAACTCTCGGTCCTGTTCAAATTTCAGCGAGATCCTTTATATATATATATATATAAATGAAATCCAAAATCGACGTTTGTTATCGCGTTGCACAAAATCTACAGAACCAATCGTTATGAAATTTCGCATGTAGGTAGCTGAAGATTCCGTTTAACATATAGGCTATTCAAAAAAAACAAAAAGATAATGTGCTTTTTTTTAATGTAAAACCAAAAAGCGTTAGTTCCAGCCTTTTACCGCTTGGCGCCGCACTGATCGCGACGATAAATGAATTTAATTGTTTAATAATTTTACACGTAGTTTGTTTACACGATGAATGTTTTTGAAAAGTAAAATTATCCAATCGACGTGAAACTTTAGGAAGTTATATATATTTACTATACTACTGGGAAGGTTTCTGATTTGAATTTGATTTGAAATAAATATTAGTTGCAATTTTATTTGCAAATTTTCTACTTTCACTCGCAAGCAGCGCCTCTCGCGGTATATGGTAAAATTACATTTATGAATTGTAAAAATGCTAAAATGTGTTCCAAGTATGATAAATTTGAGAATTTATTGATATAATATTCCAATGACGTTGTAAAAAAACTTGGCATTTCAATATCTTCTATATATATATAAATCAATGTTTGTATGTTTGTTTGTTTGTATGTCCGGTATACAAATTCGCAGTATTTCACTAATTCAAACCAAAATTTCCATACATAGGTAAAAAAATACGGGGAAGACGATAGGCTATTTTAAAAAAATATATAAATCAATTATTAAAACTATATATTCAAATTATTCTACTTAGCTCACGAACAGCGCCCTCTATCAAAGATTAGATTAAATTATGCTGATGCAAACAAATATATAATGCTAATAAGAAACAATTATTTAAAAAAATCTTATCTAAATATATATCACTCGGGTAGATATGCACACGGGTCAATCCCGGGGCGAAGCCCGGGTCACCCGTCTAATTAATATATATTTAAAGAAAATATTGTAACGTTTTTGGGTTAAATGTTAAAATATTGTAATGTTAAAATATATTTTTACATTGTTAGTTTAATTTGTTGTTGTTTTATAATAATGAAGATACAAATTACAATGTTGTTGTTGTTTATTATCGTTTGTTTATATAAAAACTAGCGGATGTACCCGGCTTCGCCCGGGGTTTTACCCGAGTAAAGATTTGTCTAACGAACATTTGTTAAAACAATTCTCTATAAACTTATTAAAAAAATAATAGATATATTTTGATAATTTGAAACTCGTAAATTTGAATCTTCGATAAAGTGAACATTTTTTCCCGGTCCCTGTTTGCCGTGTCATCCTGAATTTTGTCTTTCCTAATTTTCTACATTAAAAAATCATCGTTTTATCTAGTGAACATTTTTCCCGGTCCCCTGAAAAATACTCGATAAGTTGAATAAAATCAATATTAATTGGTTCCCTCGGTAATTGGAAGTTAAAGGAATAGTATCTTCGCCTTGGAATTGCATCATTATTCTTGTCTCAAATAAATTGCCGTGTCATCCTGAGATAATCTTACTTTTGATGAATAATCTTTAAGATAATAAACTTAGTGATAATAAAACTTATAGATAAAAAAACTTGTTAACATCGTCGCAATGGTGACGCTGCTTGCGAGTTAAATCTACAAATCTGTAAATGACTCTAAGGATATTCAAGATATTCAAGAAATTATTTTTCAAAAACCTTCCCGTGGATATACCTAATAATATCCCAAAATTTACGGCGATTGGATGTATGATTTTTGAATCTATAGAGTACAGACAGACCGACAGACAGACATTCAATTTTATATATATACTAGCCGAATGACCCGGGCAATGCCCGGGTTTTGCCCGATTAAATGCTTTTATTCAAATACTATTCGTTACAATTATAAATTGGCGCCGTGGATGTCATTCTTGTGAAACGTCCAGCTCCAAACTTTGTGTCTGAGAAGCGATATTTTTATAAAGAGATGATCTGGCTTTGTGTCGTCTGCTCGAATGAATGTTTTTCTGTTAGAATTTTGTTCCTGCATACTAAAAATAAACTGGCTTCACCCATGGTCTCTGCTTTTTGGAATTTTTCCGGATATAATTTTGTATCTGATAATCAAATATGATACAGCAATATTGTCATCATCATTTTCTGAATAAAAAACAACTACTTTTTTCCCAGAACCTGTCAATTTATTTTTCTTGACTAAAAATCCGAAAAATATATCTTCCAGATTTTTCTCTATGTCCTGTTAAAACACGTTTTACATGTCCATTAGGTCAGCTGATATTATTTCCCATCTTCACCGCTAGAGGCGCTGCTTGCGAGCGAAAGGGCAAATTTGCCACGCAATTTGTAAATAACTTGTATACATACTTGTATACTCGTGTACATAGACCATAAATCTGTACATATACAGGATAAGCATTTTAAAAATATAAATGAATTTCAAAAATTGTAAAAAAAAAATGCATCGGTCGGGAATCGAACCCGGGGTGCCCGCGTGAAAGGCGAGCATTCTACCACTGAACCATTATTTATTTATTTAGGTAAACCGGATTCCTGGAGAATACTAAAGTCGCCAACTATCCGGGTTGGTCTTTAGACTTTACGTCTACTGGTGGCAGCAGACATCCAGTTTATCAGGTGTCGCCAGGCTGACTTGTGCTTGGGGATGTTCTGCAGGTCTCAGGGGCAAATATATTTATTCCTAGGGTGGTGGCTGTTTGGAACCTTTGAAGGTGGTAGGCGGGACATCTGAAGAGAAGGTGGTCGACAGTTTGGTCTTCCTCGTGGCAGTGTGGGCAGGTAGGATCGTCTCTAGATAATTTTGCAGCATCGGCTTTGACAAAGCCATGACCTGTGAGGATTGTGGAGGTGGTGCCACAAAATTTTATTTCGGGCAGGATCTCCATTAGAGTGTTTGGGAATGCAGCTATTCTCCTGAGGTTACTTGTGGAGTGATCTGTGACATATAAATCCTTCTAGAGTTGGAGTGAATACTGTTCGCTGCGGGCTCGAACAAACCTTTTGGATAGAGTGGAGTAGGATATGGGCAATTTTGAATCAGCTGCTGCCTTGGCTAATTTATCTGCATGCTCATTGCCTTCTATGCCACTGTGGACTCTAACCCAGCAGAGCTGTACGTTTAAATAGTTTAGATTGCGAACTATCTCAGCTATGAGTGAGTTTTTTGGGAGTTCTGGGTTACAAATGACATGGAGAGCTGCCAGGCAATCAGAAGCGATTACTGTTGGTTGTCTTTGCATGAGATGGATCACTCTAGTTGCGTATAGGATAGCAAGTAATTCTGCCTGGAAGGAGGTGAAAAGATCATGGAGTTTTGGTTGTATTGGAGTGGAGGGGGGTGGCAGAAAAACTGCGCCGCCTACACCTTTGAGGGACCGCGATCCATCGGTGTATATGATGGTTGCATTTTCTGGAAGCGACTTTGAAAACTGAAGTAGTTTTCTAAGAGGTGGATAGTGGACTGCGCTCGGCCCTGGACGTGTCTCAAAAGGACCATTTTTTAATGCTTCCTTGTACGCCAGATGTGCCTTGATTGAAATGTACAATGGAGGGCCGCCAGTGAGTGAGATAGCTGGAATTGTGGGGGTACAGCCCCCCCCCCCCCCCCCCCCCCTAATAAGAGTTTTAGCGAATTTATAGTGGAGACTATGTAGTTTGCGAGTGCCATTGGTGTCGAACACTCCCTTGCCCCAAACACCCGAGCCGTAGAGCAGAGCAGGGAGAATTACCATCTTGATTATTTTCAGGCCTGAGCTGTAAGTAAGTCCATATTGTTCCCTAATTGTGCTAATTAATCGAGTAAGCATCCATTTGCATTTGTTGGAAATGTTGTCCGAGTGGCGAACGAATGTGCGTGTGGTGTCAAAAGTTATGCCCAGTATTTTTTATATGGTTGTTGATTAAAATAGGCTGGTCGAGGAATTTTATATTTTGGTAACTAGGGCGCTTGGATTTCCAATGAAAGAGGCAGGCCTTGGTCTTCTTAAGATTAAAGGTCAATCCATGCCCTTTATTCCATAAGCTGAAAGTTTTAAGAAATTTGTTAATCTCCTTTGTTGGTAATCTACGGAAAGCTCTGAAAAGCAAGGTGAAGTCGTCTGCAAAGCAAATTATTTGGCAGTTTTGGGGCTTTGGAAGGGAAAGAGCTTTCCTGGCTACAATGTTGAAAAAGAAGGGGCCTTAGCGGTGCCCCTTGTGCAACACCCAGTACTGTGTGCGCGGTGAGAGTGGAGTCCCAGGCTTGATAGATCACTTTCCTGCCTCTGAGAGAGCTTGCAGAGAGTTGTATAAGCTCTTCAGGACATTTGAGGTCACGGAGGCCTTGAATGATGGTATGTCTTTGAACCGTGTCGAAGGCATGGCTAATGTCCAAGCTTATTGCCACTGTCTTTCTCCAGTGCTTCAGGCCGTCGTTGATAAAGTTGTTGATTGAGTCAAGGGCTCCTTCTGCCGAACGCCCAGGGACGAAGCCAAATTGCATGGGCGAGAACCAGCCATGCTGGTTTGCTAGCCATTGCAGCCTCGCTAGGATGCATCGTTCAAAAACTTTGGCTAATGTATTGATCATAGTAATTGGACGGTAATTATCCAGTGGGTTGGATGAGGTGGAGTTTTGTTTGGGGATGAGAACCAGTAGTCCAGCTTTCCAAGGGCTGGGAAGTGTCCGAGGCGCAGGCATTTGGTGAAGATTTGCGATAAGAGTTCATGCAGTGCTGGTCCACCGAGGAGTATGCACCTGACTCCAAGTCTGTCGGGACCTGGGGACTTTCTCCATCCACATCGTCGGATCGCGCGTATAAAATTTAAAAGCTTTTGATAACTAAAAATTCTAATTGAAGCATATTAATTGTTTAGTGATATTAAGTAAGGGCATTTCTCTATGTATTAAATCGTTAATATTTAGGAATAAGTTTCTTACAGTGCTAGCATTTTATGTCCATAGTTTCCTTAAAACACCCTCACACACCCTTTATTTATTTATAAATGCAGATTCAATTATAGAAATCATCTAATACATTGTATGAGCAGTCTCGAGTTAATGGGAGGTTCCATCACTGACGAGCCGTGCCTCTAATTCAAAATGTTAATATTTTCATTATAAGTTCTATAGAAGGTTTGACTATATAAAATAACGGGAAAATGTGGTGAAACATTTGGTTCCAAATTTATACATATTCATTTTTTCCACTTCTCTATCCCCTCAACGCTTCATTCAAAATTCTGATTGCTCAAAACAGTAATGTAAATCTTCTTTGAGATCCTTCATTTACACCTGCCATTTTTAATTCACAATTTCTTGCAATCTTGTTCATTTCAACGAATATTTGACCTTGGGAACAGATAAAAGTCACCTTATAGGTCCGGGGGATCATCTACAATAGTGTTTTGCAGCTTAGTTATTGCTATATTACTTTTCCTTGTATTAAGTTGGATGAATTTAGTGTTGGTCATCCTCATATTGGATTGTTTGAATGACTGTCAATTTGGGTTTTGTAAAGAGTGCAATCGGTCGAGTTCGCTTTGTGTTCAAAAGATCTGTCATTCTCGTATTTAAAATGTATGGAGCAATTGTGCCATTTCTGAACGCCAGAACGGGTGGATTCCCATCGCACCACACACCAAACAACCCTTTGCATGCGTGTAATCTCAGAGTTTATGCTTAGGGTTGAATTGAAAGCATTTTTGAAACTTCCTAACTAGATTCTCAGTATTTACATGACCACTCTCAAAGTCGGTGAAGATTTTGTCGATTTATTTCTTTATTATTTGATAGACAAGAGCAAAATGCGTAATACAATATTGTGCTGTGAAGTATACTTCATTAATATGGCTACTTCACAAGCTCTTTGGTTAATTCTGACAAATCATGAATCTAGATTTCGAAATATAGGCGTTAAAATTATATTTAGTCCAATATAATTTAACTATCAATATATACAAATGCAGCAAAAATATGTTAATATTGAACAAGATTGTTGTGAGAAATAATTTGCAAACACAAAAAAATCGTTTTAGCATCCGTAACTCGAATTTGATGGTCGAAAATTCTATTCTCTCATAACGTTGATTTGCAAGAATATTTTATTTCTTCATTTTTATAACAAAATTCTGAGAAATAAAATAATTTTATCGAGAATATATTTGTAACCGAATATTGTAGAACTCGAATGTATTTCTCTTTCGGTATATACAATTGTATTTACATATGTATTTATCAAGACTATAGAAGCCTATAATTTTTACGTAACACTTCAGAGAAGGGGTTTTGAAAAGTTTCCGTCGTATTATCAAGGCTGAATTGAAGCATTAAGTAAGTCTTGGTTGTCCATCGATGCAGACATCAGGGTACCCGCATGGCAAACACAGACCTCTCCACTTGAAATAATTAGAAGACCAAATTTGATGTGCGAAATATAATGCTAGCCGAAATAAAATTCATTTAAATTAAAATGGATCTTTGCTCTCAATTTCTTGAAAAAAGCAGTTTGATCGTTATAGGATTGAATATTTTCCCTAAAGCGGATATATGCATTGGCCTTCAACTGAATCACGCTGGTTATTTGTTAGAACCTTATTTTTGAACTATTAGTATGCGAGTTTTTTCATAATGGCCGATATTTTGATATATTCGCTCTGAATATAGAATAATATGGAATATATATGTGCGATAATATATGATAACTTATATATACACGCTGTTGTTCTAGTGACCTTAGTTCATATACGAGGTGTGTTCAAGAAGTATCGCGACTTTTGAATTTTCGCGGGTTACGTATATTCAAATTTCGATCTTTTTGTGGCTTTATGTTGGTACTCATGTCTCTCACTTATGCCGATAAGCTCGGACATTTCGAATGTTCACTTAATTGTTGACAGCTGCTTTGCTTGCAGGTGTTTTGGATCGTCTTCGATTTTTACCTATTAAAAAATGGATCAAAGAAACTGTATCAAATTTTGTGTGAAAAACGAAATTAAGTGCTCGGATGCATTCCGAATGTTGACTATGGCATACGGAGAAGCTACCTTGGACCGAAGCAATGTTTATCGATGGTACAAAATGTTCTCAGAAGGCCGAAAAGATGTGAACGACGAAGAGCGTGCCGGACGCCCGAGCACTTCAAAAACAGACTAAAAAATTAATGAAGTGGAGAAAATGATATTGGCCAATCGTCGAATCACCGTTAGAGAAGTTGCTGAGGACCTAAACATATCGATTGGCTCGTGCCATTCGATTTTTATCAATGATTTGGGCATGAGACGGGTCGCCGCGAAATTCGTACCAAAATTGCTTAATTGCGACCAAAAACAGCATCGCATGAACATTGCTAATGAGATGTTGGACTCTGTCCGCGACGACCCAAATTTTCTCCAGAGGGTCATAACTGGTGACGAAGCGTGGGTTTATGGTTATGACGTGGAAACCAAAGCTCAATCATCTCAATGGAAGCTGCCGCACGAACCAAGACCGAAAAAAGCGCGCCAAGTTCGGTCGAATGTGAAAGTTTTGCTG